GGGGGGGGACGCGGGGGGGTGCACCTGGGCTCCTGGAGCGCGGCCTGTTCTAGGATTCACACCTGCCTTTGTCCCCCCAGTGAGACATGCACAGGAACCATGGACAGCAGGTGAGTGATGCTGGGGGTACCCCTGAGTGAGGGTGCCCTGCTCCCTGCTGGGGGGCACTGACCAGTCCCTGGGGCCCAGTTTGGTGCAGGAGGACCACCTGGACCTGCAAACGGTGCACGTGGAGTCCCACCACATGGACGCCAACCTGGAGCTCTCCCTGGAGGACCAGGGCCTGGTCACCATTCCCATGGACCCCGCCCAGGCCCTGGAGGAGCCTCTCTGCCCACCGCTGCCTGAGTAGGCGGTGGCCGCAGGGGGAGGGAAATGAAATCGTATTTACTGTTCTGCACTGTCTTCTTCATGCCCTGTGGGCATTGCCTCTAGTCGGGGAAGGTCCCTGTGCGCCTCTGTCCCCACCTCTGTGATGCGTTGGGCCGCATAACTCCAGGCACCTGGGGGTCCCCCTCCCCTTGGGCTGGGAGCCACACCCTGGTCCTCTACTTCCCCCAACGGGAGCCTCAGCCCAACCCTGAAGCCGGAGGGCCCTGGGCCCCGCCCACCCCCCCAGAAAGCCCAGGGCGGGCCATGGGGGAGTGGGACCTGCTGTGGTCAACCCAGGCGTCCCTGCCCGACCCACAGTCTCCTTGAGATTCCAGGACAGTCCTTGGGGCGGGGCGGGGCGGGCATGTCTCCCCAGCCTTAGGTAGCAGCCTCCTCCACTGCGGGGCCTGTCCACCAGGCTCAGCATCACACCCCCAGCAGCTCCCCACCCCGGAGCCCCCACATGTGCTCCTGCAACACCAGTCATGCACTTGGGGAAAGAAACATCCCCACTCGGGGGTGGGGCTGTGTATCTGCACATGGGGCACTTCACTGAGCCCCGAACTGGCAGAGACCCGGTGAGGAGCCGGACGCACTCGGTCCCATTGCCATTCGGTGCGTCGCCTCCCTGGTGGTTGTGTGTGGGGTCCAGTTGCTCAGGCCTCGGCGGAGCTCAGGGTGTTGGGCGACGCAGGGGGCGGGGACACCTC